TTTTTACTGAGGTGCTATAATAATTATACTAAGTACTTTCTGTTTGTCACTGACAAACAGCAATCCTTGAATGTCACTTAAGGAAAATAGAAACTTTTATACTGCGAGTTAGTTTCCAAGACTTCATAGTTTGATTTCTTAGGAATAAGTACAAGCTTTTCATTAAATAAAGCCAAACAAATAAAACTCCACCCTGGATTTTGCATAAAACCAGGAGATCTCTCAAACTTTTGTTCGTATTCGCAGAGATGTTCAGGGCAAAGGGGGGGAATTCATGACAAAAAACAAGATCTTGCAGAAAGTTTGGGTTCCTTAAATAAAATATTTTGCTAAGAAACTTAAATGTGACTTACTGAGAACTGAAGGTTGACAAGTTTAACTAAATACTGTAATAGCAAAACAAACAAACAAAAACCTTTCAGTTCACTGGTGGATTAGCGGTTAATACTCTGAAATCCACAAGCTGTGGCTATCTGTGCTGTTATAATACGAAAGAAGAACTCTACATTTTGTGTTTTTCAAAGGAAGATCTTAATCACCTCTTTGTAAGCTACCAAGCCCCTTATTAAAAGTCTGGGCCCAATCCTCCCTTGAAAGACTGGCCCCAGCAAACTATGTTCTTTGATCCTAAATTGAGACCAACTCATACTGAAGGTAACGGGATGTGATTAAGCGCTGCAGAATTGGGGCCACTGACAATAATGAGACTGGCTGCTCATGTGAGTAAAGAACAGATCCGTAAGATTAAGGACCGTTATTATGTTCTGTATCTCTAGCAACTACTCTTCATCATTTATTTAGTTTTAAAAAGGTGCACAGTATTACCTTGTCAACATTAATCCCACATTAATCAGTGGAAACTACAGTGAAAAAGAATACCATGTATTGGAAAAAACTTTGATAGAGTTTTTAGTGTTGCTCCCTGATGCCAGTTACTTATTTCGGCAATATGATTGATAATCTGAATCATGGAGCATAATTTTCTGTTAACAAGAACTCAATCTCACACACATACAAATTATTTTTCTGTTGTGTTAAATGTTTGCTAGTAACTGTTTTCAACAAGGGGAAGTACAGATCTCGGAATACCGGGCTTTCCAGAGTCCTGGCACAGGAGGCAATGTCCTGGAGCTGGAAGGGAAGAAAATAATGGAATCCCCAATGCTTATTTGCAAACACAGGCGAATATAATATAGCATTGACAGCTGTGTTGTTCAGTTGACTTCTGCATTCAACCCAGGCTAAGTATCTCTCTCAGTGCCTCTCAAATGCTCCAACTTCTTGCCCTAATTTTTTTTTATTCTCCAATTACTTGTGGATCAAGAACTTAACTATCTGAATTTCTTTAGGAAATTTTTTTGTAACTGATATAATTATTTTTTATAGGCGTGTTGCACTGCTTTAACATAACTGCACTGACATTAGAGTTTTAATTTGACACTTATAACTTGCAGAATTACAGAGATTTCCTTAAACAAGTTTAGCTAATCTGACTTTGTATATGGTAACTTTACCTAAGCTTAAATCTCTCTTGCACCCTAGGCCAACTGAGTTCGATTCCTGAGTTATGCTGGTTTAAATAAGTCAGTGCAACACTGGTTGTCTACCATAACTTATGAAACTTTGACTTTGTTTTCATCCTCGGTTTCTATTTCTTATGTCAATCCATGTAAACTAGGTTCCAGTATTATTGCTAGAAGTGTCCCAAGTAGGTTTTCGTGTAAAACAAAAATGCATACACCAACAAGGTACTGAGAGCATTCCAGACCTCCTCTCTTAACTTGGTTTTCTTCTTGACCATCTGGCTTCCTGCTCCTCTGTTTAGCACTCCTTCCCCCCACCTCCACGACCTTCCTGTGTATAAACTTGAGTCGTATCAGCAGGCTCCGGGACCTCACAAAAAGCAGATGAGCAAGTTGGCAAGACAAACCACAGCCAGTTTCCAGTGTCTTTGAGAAAGCTCTGTATTTATCCAATTAAAATTAATAAAGAATGTAAAGGCTGGAAAACAAAAGATCATGGGAGAAACATAATGCACACTACACAGGCTACATCTTGCCTAGTCTAAAAGAGGCCCGGAGTGGCTTCATTATTGATTTTATAAAAAGGGGAGAAAATAACTTGCAATTGTATAGCATTCACTTTAAAAATAGATTTGGAATAAACACCTAAAACCCCTGAAATTCTTCCAAGTGAGAAAGACCGTCTTTTGGGGATGGCATTATAAGCTCCAGACGGATTTACCAGAAGTAGTAATGGACCTTATCCTCTCTTCTAAGTTGTTACTGCCTCTCTCATGCAGCTTTACATCCCTAAAATTGGATTAGGATTTTCACCATCCTTGGGGACTGGGGAGTTCCCTCAGCTGAGCTGTGTCTTCTCTTTGCAAGAGTGGGGGTATTAATACTACACACTTAGGTATGATGATGCCTCTGGGGTGGAGAGTGGTCTGAACTGAATTGGTTTGCTGTTTCATAAGTTTAGCAAAGCCAGGCATTGTGACAGTTGTGATGCTGCGGTACTGGAAACTTCTTCTTAAAAAAATGAGGTTTTTTTGAATGGATAAGATATTTTACGTAGTTCAGAGAGACTGAGTTAAATCGTTGCAGGGTCACATCACTGATTTAAGATTTTTGTGTTTTGTCACAGATAGGAAACGTTGAAAGAACCTGGAGCTTAACAGCTTAGCTGTTTCCTTTGAAAGGAAATGGAATTAAAACCTGCATGTGCTTGGCTTATACTTTATAATACATTTTATTGCCAGAATTATAAATTAGGCCTCTGGGCACCAAAATAGAACATAACTAAAACCATAACTCACCGAGCTAAATTGATGCCTGGCCTAATATAGTTTACTGTCATGGAATGCCAGAGGACTACCCCTCCCTCCGAACTCTCCACTCTTAAGTGGGTCTATTGGCACTAATATTATCCTGCTGTAACTAGCCTCGTACTTGAATCTGAGCCACGCTCTTGGTTTCCATCCGTTCACTGCAACTGGAGAGTCTTATGGGCTATTGGCTGACTTTTGCCTTCTACAGGTGGTAGAAGGCCAGCTGCGACTGTGTTCAGTCTCATTAGTGGTATAATGAGTCCTTAGCTTTTCAGGGTGAGTGATGGAAGAAGGGGAAGAGATGATCTTTTTGTGTGTTGTTGCAGCACTTTTTCGTGTTGACATTTAGCAGTGTCAAGATTCAGTGGTGCTTAGTGTCAGTGTTGCTTAGCATTTTCTACAGCAGTAGCAGTCCAAAAAGCCATGGCTGCGAGGGTGATACAGTCTTAATTTCCTTGATATTACATAGTTATCTAAATCTGTAAAAATGGGGGTAGTAACGCTACCCCACTGACTTGTGCATGGTAACTATAGTCATGAACGTTTCTGAGAAGAGACAGTGATTTGAATCAAATTGGTTGCCTTTGTAACTTCAGTTTGTCTTGTGAAAATACTGTCAGAATAATATATGCTTCCTTTATAACCAAGAAGTTTTACTCTTGATCAATAGGACTTACATTTCATCTGTCAGGTTAATGAATTATTAGGTTTCTTTAGTCTTTCAGGTTTTTTTTAGTACATTTCAGTCTTTAAATGCAGCAGACAGTGGTAGCAATGCTGAGGTGGAAAAGAAGCCTAAGCCCTAGTGCTGATTATGGGTGAGTTCTCTTAGACGCCACTGGATGCTGCTTGTACGGCTCAGGTGGAAGTGCTTAGGCTAATGCTAACAGCAGTAGCTGGAAGAGGTGCTGGGAGAGCACCGGCATTGCTTGGGGCTGGCAGCTCCTGAGCGTGATGAGTCCTGGATGCTCCCTATAGCCCTGACAGCCAGCTCACAGATGGGGTAACGTATTCTCTGATAGCTGAAATGTTTCAAGTACATAGCAAAAAGCCTTATCGACTGCTGTTCTCAGAAAGTCAGCCAGAGGGGACTAAACTAAACCATTGTGTGTGAGGCCTTTGAAACCACAGTAAGGGAACTATTTCCCTGGATGTCACGATTGGTTCTACAGACCAAACCATGCAGCTCTCTCGAGGTTCAGGACAAACCAGGCCCAGGATTTGCTTTCCATGTCAGGCTGCTAGTCTGCTTGTGTGCAGCAAAAGGCTGCACACAACTTGAGAATAAAATTATTAGAAAACGCAACTATGAGTTTTTCTGCTTAAGTGTGCCAGTATTAAAAAAAGTGTTTTGTGTTATCTCCTTAGGGCTGTACCAGGCAAGTGATTTTTTTTTTTTTTTTTTTTTGGGGGGGGGGGGGGTTTCTTTCAC